AGTGAATTATAGTGACAATTTTGATGAGAATTACAAGTGCATAAGTGACCTTATGGAACTAGAGAAAAGAAAAAAAAAATCTTGAAATCAACACAAAAAAGACAAAAAAAAAAAAAAGGAATTGAATTCACCGAAATATTCCAAAATTTTCCATCTTGGTCAAAGAAAAGTTTGACCGCAATCTGTATTTCTGTTGGCTCCAGAGCCGAGCCAACTGAGAAAATGACAACTTCTTTGACCGTTTCTGGACCCGGCCCCACCTTCCACATGCAGTCCACGTGCAATCCCACCTCTATATAAGTCCCCCTCAAACCAAACCCTACGTATAATTACCCACAGCCCTCTCTCATTCCCAAAAAAAAAAAATCAATTTAGAAAATCACTTCGCCGTTCCGATAATACTTCATCCAATCATCCATGTCAACTGCACCGAGGACTAGCTCCGGCGACGTCACCGGCCGTCAGCCTAGCCGTCTCCAGCGGCGCGCTCCGACATCTCTACAGATTAGACCGCCGGCGTCGAGCTGGAACGTAGCCATCCCTCTCTTATCGCCGCTCGCTGCGTCTCCCAAGGCATCCGAACGTTTTGCCGAGAGGGAGGAGCCGCGACAGGACCAGCGGCAGAACCACACCGTGGAGCCGGAAAAGCTTGTGTTCAAGAAGTGGCAGCATCCTGCGGCCCCGTTCTGTAGCGAACCGGCTCCGTTTCATTCCTTCGTGCCGGTATAGATGTAGATCTTAGATCTACTAATTTTTGTACAAAATAAAAAAAAAAAAAGAAAATCCCCTTTTATGTTCATATTACTTTGATTTCTAACTCCATGTAACAATTAACAACAGCATATCAAAGTAATTCGAACAAAAGTTTAAAAATCATTTCGAATCTGTTTTCAGGATATTAATGTTTGGTTGGTGAGAAAATGAGGGAAAATGAAACTTCTGGATCTTTAGATGCAGAATTCCATGAGGTTGAACGCGAATCAGTCAAATACTGTTGGCACTGACTGTATTATTGTTAATGGTACATAAGTTGATCGGATCTGGTTTGAATGGTCATAGAGGAAGATAAGATAGGGCAAGAAAGTGTAGAAAAAGGTGGAGAAAAAAGTACTAAAAAAGATGGAAGATTGGGGTTGCTTGTAAGTCAGATCTGTGGGCATTTGAATGGGTATTTTCTTTTGTCTTATTTGGAAAGGTTGTTGCTTTATTCAATCATAATTGCTATCATCATGGTTCAGATTGATTTTATTTAATTAAACCCCATTATTCGAGTTTCACTTCGGACTATGTATCTATGATGCAGAACTTTAGCCCATTCTCATTTTACAGAAGATTTTAATATTCATACGCAATCAAAGTGTTAACTCTAGATGGATAAAAAGGGAAGAGGGGTAAATTTGTA